AAAAAAAAAAAATTCTCGTAAATATTTGAATCGGTGCAAACAATCGATTGTGACGTGAAGCGTCTATTTGCATCGAAGATGAGAACGTATAAAATTGTAAAATATAAAATTTGAAGTTTTACTGTTTTTAATTTTATGGAATTTTGACTATATTGGGGCTAGAATTTTCGAGAAATTTCATTTAATTTTGCGTGTTTAGTTATATTTTATTCTGTATATTTTATTACAATTGCTTATGTATGAGTTCATAGTTTCTTCAATTTCATAGAAAACAGTGAAATTGCATCTTATTTTTATTTTTTCGTTTACGACCATCGTTTAACTGCTAATTAAGTTTCTAATTTCTAATATGAGCATTTACCTTGCAAAGAAGAATCGAGATTTTTTTTCTTTCTTTCTTCGTTTCTTTCTTCGAAAATCCAAATATATCCAAGAGATATATTTTCTAAAATGCCGCGATAAAAATATGAAATGAAAGGAAAGGATAAATTCACTTTTCATAAAATAGCGAGCGAGAAATAAATTAGGGATATTTGTGTTTCATGCTAATTTACTGTATGGGATACATTAAATATCAAAATGATTTATCAAATTCGTATTGAACAATCTAGATTGAAATTAATTTTGTAGTTTATCGATATCTTGTTGTAATTTCATATTTCAAAATATTATATATCTTGATGTGAGCCTAATATGAATATAATATTTGATAAATTATTTAAATGATTGAATTTCTTCTGTAATAATAAATATAATTTATTATTTTTAATTGTTTGCGACGAAGTGATCGTATTTTAAAAAGATACCGAAAGGAAGATAATTTTTATGCAACGTAATAATAATAACATTTCAACGAAATTAAATTCCCGATGAAATTTAAATTCTTTTCGTTAGAACAAGTGTATCATTATATTTTTTTCATTTCCATGTAATTTCATTCATAGTAGAAATTATAAAACAATATTACGTATATTATTGCAGGTCTTTTTTTTTTCGTAGTCCTCAATTTCCATTCATTCTCGTTTCCTTTCACGTAGATGTATTCTAGATAGATACTTTTGAAATAACAATGATCACACTTTTAAAACAGATTTTTCATGGTTATTTCTCAATGAAAACAAACGATATCTCTTTTTCGTTAATTTCTTAACGAAATCCTTCGAATTCTTCATCAATTCCTAAAAATAATTATAAAATAGTAATTATTTCTTTTATTTGTAAATTATAATAAAAAAAAAATTATTATAAAATTCGAAATTGAACAACATTCTTCATAAATTGATTAATCTTCA